CCAACCTCCACTTCATCACACGACTCAAAGAGTGGCTGCATTGGAAACTAGGTCTTTCCGATCACGCCAACATACGCGACGAACCCGCGGAGCGGAAACCGGGTCTTTCCGCCCGCACCAGCTAACCCCGGGCCCAACTGACCGTCGTGATCAGGGAGGAATAGTGGCACGATCTCGCCAACGCAGAGCACCGAACAACTTCCGAATGGGTCTTGTCAGTGCCGTGAGACAAACCGAGGTGCTACGACCTATGGTGTCGATTTCACCCACGGCAATCATCAAAGTCGAGGCAGGAGGAAGACTGCACCTTGTTCGGGCACTGATAGATGCTTGTACACCATCAAGCGTAATATCGAGCGACCTTTCTAGGGAGCTGGGCTTAAAGGTAACCCGGTCGGGGAAACAAAGAGGCTGCCTATTGAGTATTCGAGGGAAGCACGGGGTAAATAAGCAGGTGGCAACCCATGCACACATACTAAAAAATTATCGACGAATATCGCCGCCTAGAAATGTCGACCCGGCCATAGCTGGGACATATGCGCACATTCGGCTCGCCGACCCGAACTTCTTCAGGTCCTCTCCGATTCGGATCGTCCTCGGCGCTAATGTCTACGCCGACATCATCATGCCCAGTGTTTTGCCGACATCTTTCGGACCTCTGTTGGCCCAAAGCACAATCTTTGGATATGTACTTTCAGGCGTATACCGCATGTAGTAGAAAAATAAAATTACAAGCCACATTTTATTTACCTTTTTTATTGTACAAACATGAATTTCGAATTTTATTTGTTTTTTTTAGTAATAAAAGTGCATCTGAAAATATCCACGTATCTTTCATTTAATGCTTTTACCTTTCTTCCCCTCTATCAGCAGTATAGGTGGGAACGACCATGGAAACGATGTAGCGGCAATTAAGGAATCTGGCTCATCGCAGTTATATCCAGAAATAATTTCACATCATTTTATTTTTATATATTTTAATCACATGTACATAGGTGAGCTGGTAGCTGCTGCATAAATGTTAGATGTTGCTGGCCGCAAGGGGGCGGCATGTTTAGGCCTTCAGCCTAAAGATTTTCATTCTTTTGTGACCCGCCCTAGTATTGGCATATAGGCGTATGCACACACATATACATATGCACACCAATTATTATTAACTCGCGCCGTTAACTGACGTTTCCCGCCGGATAATAACCTATCGTTAAGTTTCCCCTTAATATCGGTTGTTGTCCGGCGGTCCGATTTAAAATCCCGCAAATCCTTAACTTCACTTCGGTTTAGAAGATCAACGCGAGCAGACCAGCAGCTACCAGGCCACTGTCACTAAGGTAACAACATTGTCATTTATACCAATAATTATTTAAATCTGACTGAATATTTTATATTAAACAAATATTAAAAAACAAATATTTCGCTTTGGTTTTTATTTCCATTCGCTATCACCTGCACCGGAGCGTTATTCCCGATACGCGCCCCCGTGCAAGATCACAATAATATAATGTGTGAAATGAATATTTTTAATTTTTCAAATAAAAAAATAATATAAAAAATGTTTTTTTTTTTTATTATTATGAGGATTTTTACTATTGGGGTACAAACGTATCCCAGGTGTGTGTTTACGTATATAATGTGTTTGGAAGGCTGTAGCTCCTGAACCAATGGTCCGATCTGGTTCAAATTTTGAATTTGAACTCAAAACTAAATAATCTTCCTAGATCCGAAGAGGTATAGCGGTTCAAAAGTTACAACACTTCAAAGTTGAAAGTGGATACATTTGTACCCGGGTGTGTGTTCTAGGGTTAATAAATAAATAAAAACCCACGATCTTGTATTAAAAAGAAATAAAATCTTTTATTTAAAGTAGAGTCACAAGGTTATATCTATTATTATTGCAAGTACATTCGCAATTGGTGCTGTACTTTCTCAAGACGTTATGCAAGCAGAACACTTTGCGACAATGAAAAGAACTATGCAACAATAGAAAAGGAGTTATTAGCTATAGTTTGGGCATGCAAATATTTTACACCTTATTTGTATGGAAAACGATTTAAATTACAAACTGATCATAACCCCTTAATTTGGTTTAATAATTTGAAAGAAGAAAACAGTAAGTTTACAAAATGGATATTAACACTTAATGACACACACAAGTTGGCAAACAATCATAGCGCAATAGAAGATACAAATGATCACATTTGGATCACAGAGACACCAATTAATTTGTTTAAAAATCAAATTATTATTACTGAACATAAAGTGAATGGTAAGGATATTCACGAAAGAACCATTTTGAAGAATAAACGAATTTAGCATTTATGAAAATGTGATAAATGAAAATTTCAATGAAATTTTAAAGAATTTTACGGTATTACATTTCAAAGACATTTAATTAAAATACTTGGAAATTCGAATATTAAAGCATTAAAAAGCAATATCTTTTTGAATGATATCGAAGAAATCATAGAAAAAGAACACGTAAGACTTAATCATCGTGGAATTGATGAAAATTTCAAAAAATTAAAAGCAAAAATTGTCAGCGGTCATTCTGGCAACACTCGCATGACTCGCAAAGTTTTGGACATTTCTCCTTTTGCCATGTACTACTAAGAATAGGTTTTTAAACGATAACTGAAATGTAAAAACGTGCGCGTTGAAACACTGAGCTCATACAGAAATATGTGGATTATAACGTTTAGAAT